TTTAAAGGCAGAAATGTATGCTCCGAATTAAAGGCAAAAGTCGGGCTCAATAAGGGGGTATTATGGCGATTGAAACTGAGTATAGAGATGCGAAGTGGAACGACAGTGGAGAAAAAACTGAGAAAAACCGTCGACAAGCCGTTAACAAAACCCTCTTTCCCACTAGCAGTGAAGGAGGCTGGCTTGGGAAAGAGGCACGTACAAACAAGTTTTCTGGAGATCAGTCAGTTCTATCGGTTGATACGGCAATCAACCTAGCTGATTTCACACGTTATGCCAGCCACGCACCACTTCCGGAGGTGGGCGGTCCTGGATTGACCAGGCGGCCCTGGATTGAAACCGAACGCCCCGGGGCCTTAACGGGTTTTTCAAGGTGGGAAGTTGCTGCAATGTGTGCAGCTACCCACATACAACCTCCAGGCACGGGAATTACTTCTCTAGCGTGCCTGAGCCCGACCTTTGCCTTTAAAGATGAACATTTCTCAGAACTCAACTTGCAACCCGAAAGAACTACTACCTTACAGTACAGCAGAAAAGGACAGGAGGAACCGTTAGTACCGCCTCAGATCGTTTAATAAGTCATATACTATCATCCCATCTCCACTACAATTTTTCTCACCGACATAGTGATTACGTGTAGCAGTAACACTGAGAGAGTAAGTACATCCGATTTCCTAGGAGTGAGTTAAAAAAAGAAGGAGCTCTTCGTTTTCTTTCTAATGAATGAAAAATTCAATTTTGACGCCAGATATCATTCCCCCGTTTCCTTATATGCATTCAGCTGTCAGTTCTATGCATCTTGATTCTTAGTAGTGGCCACTCCTGTTGCCAATTCCCCGTACCCCTCCATGTTTTTCTTTCCCCCGCTCTCTGCCCACCTCTTGCGACTCCCGCTATCATCTCAGCGCTGTCTCTTCAACCGATGCAGTGTACGCCGAATGTGGATGGAGCGTGTCCGGGCAACTTCTTCTGCTGGTTCTCCACCACAGCCACTTCAGTCAATGCGTTCTACTGTTGTCGTTCGCCAGATAGCGTAGATACAGATGTGAGTCAACGATAATTCACAATAGCGCATCAGCTGAACTTGCCGAAAAGACCGAGGATTGCACAACGCAAGCGAGGCATGTGTTCTGCGCTACCTGTTAACTATTTATTATTTGGTCCATGAAAGGGTAATGTGTCAGAGGCTACTAATGCGCGAGAATCACGCCCTTTTGCACTTAAATTGTGCGCCAAGTGAGGAAGCGCTTATCCACTTGCGCGCCAACGCTGAACTACTACGCCACATGTTTGGTAATCCCGACTGTTTTGAATGGAGATATACTATCCACCGCTTGTCGAATTGAAATACAGGCACAGTTCGTGTTACGAAGTACAGCAGCAAGCGCGCACCGAGAGGAAGTCATATCTTCTAATTGCTACGCCAATTTAACTGAAGACCGTGTGCGCTCCGCATCGTGATTTCTGACTACACCTTCATTCCCTAAATCGCCATCAAATAATTCGATCAAAAGTAGTTTCCAAAAAGTACATTCTGCTTGCAGACTGCCCGCCTCAACTCGTACCTGTACCTGGAGAGGGTGGCGCACAGTACAAGTACTGCTCGCCCTCAGCGCCACTCAACGACGCAATCCAGGGATGCGGAGCTAATAGACATTGCCAGTTCAGCACAAACCTCGAGAGGTAAGACAACTTAGATATTGAGCTCGAGTTCATGCTCAGCGTTCTGGTAGAATCAGAAAATCCATGATTGTGGAAAAGATGTGTATTGATTCGGAAAATTAGAGCCGAGAATAGGCGAATCCGCGAAAAGGATCAGGCACGTATTGAACAGTTTTATCATTATCTTGAAGTTGATCTGTTCTGAGCACTCCAGACATGTTTCCATCGAAGAGGCAGTAGCCAATTCTCTTCGCGAATCCTCTAGTTCTCCGATTCTCTTAAAACGTGGAGTGTGGACGTGGTCTAAGGTTGGAGAGAAACATGAGTAACACCTCTCGTTGCAGGTACATTTGTTGCGGACTGGAGTCAGATGTCAGATTACCTAACGTTTGTCCACCACAGCCAGCAAACCTTGTTCCGGTAGAACTTGCCGGAAATTACCGTACCTGCAATCCGTAAGTGATAGTTCACTTCATGGAGATAAACGCTGTGCAGAATGCATATCACCAGGACGAGCGGTAGCCGTGCGGCTGGTTCGCTTTTCAGGTTACACGGAGTGTAAAACTGATGAAAGAAAATGTGCCGTTTTCATGAAAACACCCAGCTAAAACTCCGCAAAGTCGAGTCGACCGCACCGCAACCGCTCGCGTCGGTGACTTGCATAGCTCACGGGGAAACAAACCAAGACTTTCATAGTCACATAAGTGGCACATTGTGTTGCAAGTAAGTAGCTGAATCGAACCTTTTCAGTTACGCAAGGGCCGGAACACCTCAAAGTTGTCCAGATAATTCTGCTTGTCTGTACACCGGAAATGACAACGGTTTCATTTGCTGTCGGGTACAGTTGGGTGGAGGAAAGGCGTGACCAAGGACAGTCGATTCTCCATCGGTTTCCCAATGAGGAGTCTCCAGTTTGCGAAATCTTCTGTGACAAAGCCCATTGTTTCGTTTTCACAATGGCTCCGCATTCACTTCATATTCATCCTTGTGATTTTTCTGCTGATGTGCAATTTCACTGCCTTATTATTTCTTATTTATATGGTCATCAGTTCTATGAGCGATCTGTAGACACTCTGTTAACTGGTTATGAATCTCAGTGCCTTCACAATTTCCTGATAAAGGGTTTCTATATATAAATCTGATTTCTATCTTGGAATACTTGAAAATTAATTGTTTTTTCAGGTATTCATCGAAAAGCAATAGCTTGTTCCGAGTGGTAGACGATGGAGCTCTTTGTACACTTTGTTCCTTACAGCCGGGCTTGTCGTGATTACAAGCTCAGTAACACGTTGGTATCATATAGCACTGAGATCTTGAAAAATTAAGAAAGCTCGAAAAACAGGTGAAAATGTAGTTCGGGGGACCACCCTATCTAATCGAAGTGGAGTAGCGGAAGACACTCATATCTAATCAAAGTATAGTTGCGGGAAGGCACTCATATCTTATCTTTCACTGAGTAAGCGGCAAACGATTTGTCACCTTGTCCTATGGCGAAAACGGCTGTCACCTTGCTGACTCTTCACTTTCACCAACCCTTCTTGCGATTGCCATGCAAGCCCTTGGCGAAAGGGCCTTTCAGGTATCCGATTTTGTACGGAATCCCGGGTTGGTATCCATATCTAATCGTGCACTCACCAGGAAGGTCTTTCAGGGCGTGCCAAGCTTTTTGAAAACGGTCTTTTGCATGATATAGGGGCACATGCGGGAACAGAACCATGTTCAATTTTTCCTGAACGGCCCTCTGAATACCAGAAAAGGAGGTCCCTAGTTCGATTCCTCGTGGTGACAAATTTTTGCATTTCGAGTTGACGTTTCCAAAATTCGCGCAAAATGGAGTTAAAGGATAAAGGATAAAGCATTTGCCGTTGATCAATCCCTTTTGGGATGCGGCACGCATTCTACTTCCATTTGTACATTCGTAGTGGCGTTTGAATGCGATGTGGCCTATACAATGACTTGCGGGGGCCAGCCGATGTACAAGTCAGTGTTTTTTATCCTCCCAGACAAGTCTGGTACCAATTAACCGACCCCGGAGGGATGGAAGGCTTGGTTGGCCCGGGCGGCATTCAAACGCCACTACGAATGTACAAATGGAAGTAGAATGCGTGCCGCATCCCAAAAAGGGATTGATCAACGGCAAATGCTTTATCCTTTATCCTTTTAGCATGAATAATTATACCATATTTATGATAACAGTCGAAACCCTTAAAATAGACTTTGATTAAAAAACTGGTGAAAAAGGTGTGACACCACAGTGGGGCTGATTGGTGTCACACCTCTTACACCAATTTTAACACTAATTTTTAAGTCAAAGTTCAAAATTTGTCACCAGAGGAATCGAACTAGGGACCCCCTTTTCTGGTATTCAGAGGGCCGTTCAGGACCATGGTTCGCGGTGCCGGATAATTCAGATGCAACAGTACCGGTTTATTCAGAAGCTTGGCGCGCCCTGAAAGACTTTCCTGGTAGAGCTCTGAATGCTGATTAGATATTACCGCCTCCGCAACTCCACTTCGATTAGATATTGCCACTTTGATTAGATATTATGAGTGGCTCCATCGAACTACATTTCTACCCGAAAAACACACTACATTGCTTTTTTAGAGGTCATCGCAATGTGTAAACGAGGCATGTATGTATTACCAGGGATTGATAACTAATCTTGAGCAAAGAATGTGTCTGGAGAAATCTGCGAGTTTCGTTGTCAGAAGTAAAAAAGCGGCAAAGCTAAGGTCAGCGTTGATCTACCTTTTTGAAATGCGCCGCGCATTCTGTTTTCATTTAAAAGAGTAGCAGCATTTGGATGCAATTTGCCTTTTGCACGGACTTGCAGCGCGAGCCGATGTACAAGTCGGTTTTTTGACATCCCAAGTCTGGTTCCAATCAACCGGTCCCAATGGGTACAAAGCGGAATTTCACTCCCATTTTTTTATGAGAAGCCTTCGCATAAGCACATAGTATACAGTATCGAATTCTGTCCACTATGGCTATACTAGGTGTCTCAGAAAGTAGTTTGAAACCAACCATCATTCTCCTCTATGTCAGCTTGAAATATGATCTGGTTCGGTCCATGAAGTAGGGCGCCATGCCCCAAGCCGCTGTACCATATTCGCTAACTAGTGCACCCCTATGGTTCCTGGTGGCAAACCTAAGTATACCATGGTGTCACATATACGAAGCAATTAGGGGTCAAGGGCTTGACGGGTGAAAAAGCGTCTACATTTTCTTTTTTACATCAGACGCACTAGTGTGAGAGTGTCCCTAAAAAGTCGTGCACTTTCAAGCATTTTTTGAGTTAACATTATTCCAACAAAAAGCAATACACCGAGGATTTGATGACGTGTTCTCAAGGGTCGGCAGTTGCGAGCTGGAAAGCTGAATGAGGTCAATTTCAAGGCTCTTTTTTGAATCATATTTTTTGTCCGCAAGGTGATTGCCGACCAACAAGGATAGAGGAGAAGCTGCTCAGTATTATACGGTGGATCTGGAAGGGCTTCTCAACTAAGCTTCAGAATCTCGAGTTGTGCAGTGTAGTTGAAACATGCGATTTCAGCTATCGTGAAGCGGACATGCTTTTTTCACAAGAAAACTGGGTTGTGAACAAACCTTTCGCCCCAAACGGGACGTACAGAAGTCAATTCGACCAACCCTCGCCATTGATCACAGATCTCCTTAGTAGCCTCAATGGTGAAGCGATGGAGAAATTCCTTCTGACCCGCGTACACCACACCAGACGGATATTGTAAGCTTTTGCTGAACTTGCTAATTTTTCAAGGTTTACTGGTAGGTCAGTTCTTCTGTCTGTGCTCAACAGGGGGCTATCACTTCTCATCGGCAGTGATGACGTTATTTCACCAGTTCATACCAGAAGGGTGTGAAAAAGTTGCAGACTGTGCTCCTACACCCCTGTCATGAAGAATCGTTTGGCCAAACTTCAACACTTTTCTGTAGGAGCAAAATCTTTCGAACTCTGTACCTGAGACGTGTTCGTGTGGTGGCCATAGAGCCGGTACACTTGGGCGGATTGCCTTCTATGAGGGGATCTGTCGAGCGGATGGTCTCAATAAGACACTGATGGCCTTACTAAACGAGTGTTTTCTCCTGGGCGAGCGAAGCAGAATGAATATTCTGATACCTCATGGAGGACGACGACGGAGTTCTTTCGCTATGTAAATGCTTTTTTTTAGATTCGATCGCTCTGAGGCTTAGGAGGAGGTCATTCAAAACGACAAAAACACGACTTTTCCGATCAGATGAACACTTCGCTGTAGTCGTCCAAGATTAGATAATTTTGTTAGGCTTTTCAGGCACTGACAAAGGCGAAGAAGCCGAAACGTTAGCCTAATAAAGGTTACCTAATCTCAAACGGCTACAACCAAATAGAATTGTAAATTTCGTAGGAAAGATTTTCTGTTTTATACAATAGTTCTCATTTTTTAATCTTGTAAATGTATTTATTATTATGGGTTCAACACAATGAGGTAGTCTAGTTTCCGTTTCGCACGTGCCCTTAGACGGAAACTTCATCTGATCAAACTATACCAAGATTAAAAGAAAGTTGATCCTGGACCATGGCTCTTTTATTTTTCATCTCAAAATTGAAGACGGCAACTAGGGCGGGCATCGTTCGCTTGCAAGTTACCTCCACATAATGAGCTCTATGAAGCCTACGTGATCATATTCAGGAATCCTTTAATAAACCTT